TTTAAACTACTTTTTTGTGACTGACTTAGCTGATTTATTAAATCTTCGACTTTATCTTCAAGCTTCTGCTTGGTTAAATGCAAATCACAGAGGCTCAGTGCACTCTCAGTTAACTTTTCTTTCTGTACATGCAACTCGTTAGTTATGTCCATTTTATCCTCCTCAAGTTGATGAACTCTCTCTTTTTTGTCATCTAGATCTTGTTTCAATTTCGTGATTAGACCATCTCCTTCATTTTGCTGTTTTGATAGCTCATCTATTATCAAATTCATGTGCTTTGTAGCTTCCTGGTTCTCATTGTCCAGTTCTTCTAACTCAGCTATCAGCATTTCCTTTTCATTAATACTTTCATTCAGTTGTTGCTCCTTAGCGTCCATGTTAAGTGTTAAGTCATGTATTTGTACATTCAAATTCATGTCTGTTGAAGCCGAACTTTTAATGACTTCATATTCCCAGCTCAGTTTGCAAAGTGATATCTGAAGTTCTTCCTTTTCTTGACTCAATAATAATTTCTCTTTTTCTAAAACTTGGACATGCATTTGAAGTTTCAGATTGTCTTCAGCAAGACTGGTATCTTGTTTTAAACTACTCAGTCTCATTTTTTCATTTTCAGCCTCAGACAGGGCTTGTTGTATTCTCAACACTTCTCCCACTGATGAACTCTGTGGAGAAATTGTTTCTGCCACAGGATCACTCTGCTCCATCACAGAAGGCTGCAATTTAGTACATTCCAATTTCAAGTTTTCACATTCTTCAATCATTTGTTGCTTTTCCACACTGAGCTGTTCTTTATCTCTCTTCAGGACATCTCTATCGTTTTCTGTAGAAGACAATTTTTTACTTATGTCTTTTATTGTATCCTCAAGTTCTTTGATTCTTCTTGTGGACTCTAGTTTTTCAGTTTGTAGAACTTGAATAGTGTTTTGCATTTCCCAGACTTGAGACTCATCAGTTACTGTAACTCCTGAGTCACCTTGGTGTAACAGCTTTTCAAGTTCTGCAATCCGTCCTTCATAGTCATTTGACTCCTGTTGATGCTGATGATTTAACTCTGCCAGTTTCTGTTGATGTTCATTCTGCAAAACAGACATTTCATGTTGGTGATGATCCATGTCCTGACTTCGGTTTTGTTCCAGGACCTTAATAGTCTGCTGTAGTTTGCAGATTTCACTGAGTCCATTACCAGATGAACAAGGTGCGCTGGTTGCTGGTACACCACCCGCTCCTGAAGGTACTGATTGAGCAGCTGACTGCAGGCTCAACAACTGCTCCTGTAGTGCCATYTGGYTTGCYTGAAGATGGCTGATTTCTACCTGTTTCTGTTGCAGTTGGTTTCGGTAACTTGTAGATTGAAGGTTTATTTGAAGCTCTGATGCTTCATGCTTTTTTTCCAGATCAGTACAATGTTTTTTAAGTCTTTTATTCTCAGATCTCAACCTTGATTTCCTGGCTTCAATTTTCTTTCTCCGACAATGAAGTGAATGGGCTTCCACAGCTTTGGAGACCTCCACAGGCGTATCTGTGGTGCAGCTGGAGACTTGGCCAGTGGGGGAAGCCAAGCTGCCTCCCACCTGACCCAAGGAGTGGCCCAAGCCAGAGCCTAGGCCTCTAAACAAGGATGACATTGCTAGAGCTTCAGAGAGCCATCAGCTCCTCTCTGAAAACCACTCTATGGCCATCCACCTTCCAGCTGAATGTCCTGGAGCGCTGTAGGGGTCAATTATGACCAAAGCATTCAGAATTCTGGGCAGTGCAGGATTCCTGACACCCTTGGCACTCTGCCTCAAATGTAGAGGCCTGGCCTGGGCTTTGACCAGGAACTTGTTGCCAGGGGCACAGTAACCCCCGTAGGGCCTCTGCTCCTTCCCTGGACTTTCAGCCCTCTGGTTGGGTTACCAGCTCCGTGGGCTGGTCCTGCCACTTCCATGCTGGCCACAAGAACACCCCCATCTGAGAGCCTTTACCCTGTCTTGGAGGCCTGAAGTTGAAGGTCTGTCCTCAAGGATTCAAGTTCTGTTTTGTATGCAATCTAATCTGTTGCTGATGGTTTCCAGTGGAATTTTAATTTTTTAAAAATATATGACAGTGGAATGCATTACAATTCTTTTTACACATATAGAGCACAATTTTCCACATCGCTGATTTTATACAAAGTTTTTGAACACCAATTCATGTCTTCATATATGTACTTCATATATGTTCCAGAAAAAAAGTAAAATGGAAATGGGAATGTAGCTCAGTAGTAGAGCATTCTTGGGTTCAATCATTAGTACCATAAACCACTACCAGCACAACAACAAAAAACAAAAACAACAACAAAAAAAGCTTAATACTAAGAGTTTGTAGTTATTGAGACTTTACAGTGAGCCACAGTAACATTGTGAAGTAGATCACAAATGTATTTTAGAGATTATTTTAGATTACTTAGATTAGTAAATCATTTAGATTATTTTACTAACATTATTTGCTGTGATTCTTACATAAAGAATTTTTAATTTTTTTTATTTGTTCTAAGTAGTTTTACGTGACGGTAGAATATATTCTGAACATCACACATAAATGGAGTATGACTTCTCATTCCTCTGGTTGTACATTACGTAGAATTATACCAGTCATGCAATCATATATACATACATGGTAACACTATCTGATTCATTCTACTATCCTTCCTACCTCACCTCACTCCCCTCTATCTAATCCAAAGTTCCTCTATGCATCCCTACCCTACTCACTTACAGTGGGTTAGCATCCACATATCAGAAAACATTCGGCTTTTGGTTTCTTAGAATTGGCTTATTTCATTTACTATGCTCCATCCATTTACTAGAAAATGCCATAATTTCATTCTTGTTTAAGGGTGAATAATATTCCATTGTRTATATATACCACATTTTCTTTATCCATTCATCTACTGAAAGGCATCTAGGTTGTCTCCACAATTTAGCTATTGTGAATTATGCTGCTATAAGCATTGATGTGGCTGTGTCCCTGTAGTATGCTGTTTTTAAGTACTTGGGTACAGACCAAGGAGTGGGATAGGTGTGTCAAATGGTGGTTCCATGCCCAGCTTGCCAAGGAATCTCCATACTGCTTTCAAAATAGGCTGCACCAATTTACAGTACCACCACCAATATATGAGTGTGACTTTTTCCCCATATCCTTGCCAACACCTATTGTTGTTTGTATTCTTAATATCTGCCATTCTGACTGGAGTGAGATGAAATCTTAGAGACTCATGCTATGTAGCAGGCAATCTTAAGAGATAGGTCCTGAGACATTTACAAATTCTTCAATTATAGCATGCAATTCTTATCATAAAGTGCACTCAAGTATTACTAAAACCTTTTAATTAACTCCCTAAGACTTTTATAATTCTATAAATAGAATTTATTAATGAGAGCCAGACTCAGTAATGAAGCTAATAATACAAATTCTGTCTGGAAAATTTACTGAAAATTTGTGAGTTTCCTCTCCTTACTTCTTTACAGAATGCATGACAAAATTCATCATATGTCCATCCATGCCACTTGTCCTGTGCTTATTCATAAAAAATTTCTATTTTTTATGAATAAGCACAGGTTTCTTCTTTACTTTTTCTTCAATTCTGGGGTGACACYATTTGCTGGTTGGATTTAGAATGTTTTTGTTGTTGTCTTGTTTGGCTTTTTCCCTGTTTGTTCCTTTGTTTAGAGGGGGGCATTTTCCAAAGGATTCAGAGACTTTCGTGTTTCACAACAGGTACATGGATGGAAACATGAGCTAAAAACTATAAAGTCAGGCTGAGATGAGGATGCTTGCTGCTGAACAGACTCTAGCCCAGGTAAGTGATCACTCTACAAACAATGTGTACATTGACAAAGTTCAAATTATTACATTATGTGGACCACTGGAGTTCCTTGAAAGCAATCAAAACTGTATATGTAAATTCTCTAAATGTGTAAGGTCTTAAAATGATTTTTAAAAAATATTCCAATATAATCTACAAATATATAGCCTTTTTGAGAGACTGAGGAAATGAGACTAAATTAGTGAGAATTAGTGAGCCCTGTAAAAAGAGCTGGGCTATTTGCTTTATGATTTAGAGACATGATATTATTTATTTAATTCTTCCAATAACTTTTTGTTGTTGTTGTTCTGTTCTGTGTTTGTTTTAGTGCTATGCATCCAACTAAGGCTTTGTTCAGGCTAAGTGGGTACTCTATTGCTAAGCTCTACTCTAACCTCTTTCCCGTAGTGTTTTGAGGTAGCTATGTGATTCCTATTTTTATAAGAAATGAAAGCTCATAGAAGATTTAGACATGTTCATTATTACACAACTAATCACTGATTGGAAAAAATTCAAAGCTCTTTCTGTCTGACCCAATAATGTATTTCTTTCTTCCTGTCTGTGTTTTTGTAGTTGGAAGGCAGAATATAAAGGTCTAAAGAGGCAACAGATTCCTCAAAGTCCTTTATTTTTCTATACCATCTAGAGAACAGCAGAGAAGAAGGAAGGAAGGAAGGAAGGAAGGAAGGAAGGAAGGAAGGAAGGAAGGAAGGAAGGAAGGAAGGAAAGAAGGGAGGGAAGGAGGGAGGGAAACAGTCTTGGACATTAGTTTTCCCACCACTGGAGGATTAGTGTTTGGGCCATGGTGTGGGGAAAGTATGCAGTTGGAGACTTGGATGTTTGTGTGTGTGGCAAAAGCCTGGGGAGCCAGCTGCCTCCTGCAGCCCCTGCCATGGGGSCTACACTACCCCTTGCTTCTGGAGCCATGATAGTCTAAACACCAAGAGAATTCACCTTTGTGAGGAAAGGGCTAAAACAATGTTGTTGCCAGAGAGAGCA